TAACTGATACTGGTTCCTGATTATTCCATCGGAATGACGAATTTGATCAGTTCTTCAGCGGAATGATAAAGCGTCATTGTTAGCAACAGCTGCTGTTACTGATAACATTTATGCTGCTGATACTGTGGATGTAATAAAAAATTATTAGTTGCAAAAAAGCATTCTGTGTAACAAACATTCTTCTATAGATTTGGAATTCAAACTGCTTTCCAAAAATCAATTACTCATTACGTTTTCTTGCATCTTCAAACTGCTTTTTATGGGCTGCCGAGGCACTAATCTGCCAGAATCAAACAAAACTGTCTCATGATGTTGGGCGACATCTCAAGTTTCGAAAAATTTTTCAGTAGTTTGAACAATATGTAGCTTTCTAAATTTCTCCAGAAGTGGTACCAAGTGAAATAAAACACACAGGAAACCCCTTGTTAACAAGTATATCATCCAGCCTGCGCGCCTGCATCAAAAAAGAATTCTCAAGCTCCAGCTACTATTTTATCTTAAAAAACCAAAGCTGGAACCCCCTGGCTTGCCGGCCGGTGCGATCATGCCTTTTTGCACCAAACTCGCAGACTGCTAATAGCAGGAATGATCCCTACACTGTAGCCTAACACTTGGGCTCATATTGGCCATGCTTTGGCCCCTTCCCGCATGCAGGGGGAAGGGCTTCGGTTGGGATGAAGGTGGTGCATTATAGAGCCGCACGGACACCTAGGTGCATGATTATCAGTTTTTGGAATGAAGTCCGGTCGCCTTTCTTCGGTAATTCTCGCTCTGTGAAAAAATGAAAAATGCAAATTTCCAGATCACTAAAAAGTGGAAGTATTTTGTCAAAAAATTCAAGTATGCAAATGAACTAATGTTCATTTACATATTTGGGTGATGGCGGTCGTTAGCTGCAAAAAGCACCCGTTTCTGATTTTTCGGTAAAGTTGAGGTTTTTCACGCCCCCTTGCAGGGAATTCTACCTCCAAGCAGAAATAAGACTGCACTTAAAATTAGAATATTCAAGCGAATTTTCAGCCTCGCAGCTTATCCGATAAGCGAAATATCCACTTCGCTATAAATATCTTTGAAGTTCCATAAGTTCTGGCGTCAGT